CATACACTTGGATTCGGAGAGTTTGACAATAGCATGCCGTTAAGCTAACAGCATGATACTTGTGTGTGCAATGCATAAAAACACATGGGACACACCTTATTAATTTTTCAGCAAACTATTATGGAGTGGAATGAAATTCAAATATATTTAGAATCTCATCCACCATCCTGGAGGAGTTTTTCAGAGCTCACCGCAATGCATTCTGTGAAACCATAGGCTTTAACATACTGTCTAGGTAGGCAGCTAACTAGGTTTTGGAACAAAGCTAACTGTTTTTCTACCTCTTAATGTTTCAGTTGAGATACCGGTGACTTTGAGGGATCTATTCCCAAATAAATGGACAACTAGAAGGTCTTCATTAAATGATTATATGGCTATATCAAGCATATGGCTAAGAAGCCTCTTATTTTCTCTCTCTCTTTCTTTGACCTGCTGACAAACTCAGATAAAATCATCAATACCATAAGACCAAGAACATAAAAGTCCAACTCATCGCCACTGAAGGTTCCTGCTCAAACAGGAAACGTGAAACCTAAGGCAAGTGCTCTTCCTGTGGTTGAGTCAGTCAGGATTTAAAGTGACAAGAAAAAAAAAATCCTCAAAGTTACTGTCAGTCTGCAGACACAGAATGATGGAAAACCGTGGACACTAGAAGGTCTATCAAAGCTACTGTAATGTGAGTTCTGTGCGTGTTTTGGGGGGTTATTGTATATTGCAGGAGGAGCAGCACGGATCATCTTTATCCGGCTGTGCTGCGAAGTCCATCTGCCGTACGATCTCGGCAAAGAGTTCGTCCACCATGGTCTTGCTCTTGGCAGACGTCTCGATGAACGGACAGCCCCACTCCTCGGCCAGCGCCTGTCCCTCCCTCACGGACACCTCCCGCTCGCTCTCCAGATCCACCTTATTCCCCACCAGGATCACAGGAACCTTCTCATACCTGGAAACAACCAGACAGAACACTTAAACAGAATTTATGCAAACAATTCCTTCTGAACAAGACGTAGACTTTAGTATACCTTTAAAAAGAGTACTTATTAAACTTTAAAATAATATTTTTTAAACTTTCTTTTTAAAAAGTGCACTCATGTGTGTTAAGAAACAGTCATGAAAGTTTGCTCTATTTCATTAATATACTATCTGCAAGTATAGTTTTTTTTTTTTGAATACAAGTGCATAGTGGACTTCTTTTTAACAAGGGCATTTTACTTTAGGATGCATCCCAGTAACTTAAAGTCTACACGAAACACATTCAAAATGCATTTAACTTCCAACAGTCATATGTATGTGTGAAACAATATTTTATAGGAAACAGTGTAGGCAGGGCTTGACTTCCCCCATCAAGATTTGATTGGCTCATGGATGTCAGAGTAGGATATTACTGGTAAATGTTATTTTTACACAAATGCACAGCAAAGTGATTTTAAAGAAACATTATCTAACATTTTACTTGTTTACTATATTGCCTTAATAAAATATCGTATAAAGAAAATTTGTGTCTGTAATATTTTTTATTTTTAATACACTATCTTTCAAAATGTTAGGGCGAGTAAGTTTTATTTTTTTAAAGAAATGAATACTGTTATTTAGCAAGGATGCATTAAATGTTAAATGTTAAGTTAAGTGACAAAAATATTAAGCAGAACAAATGTTTTCAACATTGATAATATTAAGACATGTTTCTTGAGCAGTGAATCAGCATATTAGAATGATTTCTGAAAGTAATACAGGTTCCAAAAAAATATTAAGCAGCACAACAGTTTCAACAATGATAACAAATCAGCATATTAGAATGATTTCTTTAGGATCATTTGACACTGAAGACTTGAGTAATGATGCTGGAAATTCAGCTTTGATCACAGGAATAAATTACATTTCACAAGATATTAACTTGGCGAAAATGCCTAATCAGAGTTCCAATCCGGTTTTAGGAAAAAACATAGTACATCCTACACCAAATACACAAAATAATGATCTTTAAAAAAGCATCATATGACCCCTTTAATAATATTGGGAATAATCTCGCAAATTCAAGTTTTCATTTATACGCTGATGATATGGTGATTTACTCCTCTGCATCAACATTGGATCAGGCTCCGAGTCATCGTCAATATGATTTTGATGCATTTCAGCATACACTGAGTGATTTAAAACTTGTTTTAAATGCGGAGAAATCTAAACTTATGATGTTTACAAAAAGAAAGTCTGTACTTTCAAACTCATGCTCAATCACTACTCTTCAAGGTTTGGAGATTGAAGTAGTATCTAAGTATAAATACTTGGGTTTTTTAATTGATGATTCTCTTTCTTTTGGGCCTCATATTCAGTACCTTATTTACATTTACATTTACATTTAGTCATTTTGCAGACGCTTTTATCCAAAGCGACTTACAATTGGGGGATACATAAAGCGATTCTTCTTAAAGAGGCAAACAGATACAGGAAGTGCTTGTAATACCAAGTTTCTAGACATTGTTCAAATAAGTACAAGCTAGAAAGAGAAGGAATAAATAAAGAGAGAGATTTTTTTTTTTTTTGATGATGATGATGATGATGATGATGAAGTCAAGTAGCTTCGAAAGAGATGAGTTTTCAGCTGTCGCTTGAAAATTGTCAGGGATTCAGCATTCCGGATAGGGGTGGGAAGATTGTTCCACCAGCCAGGAATGGTGAACGAGAATGTTCTGGAAAGTGATTTTGAGCCTCTCTGTGATGGTACCACGAGGCGTCGCTCGCTTACAGTCACAATATAGCCTGTCATGGCCTCACCCTTTTGTTTAATTATCTAAACTGTATCAAAATGGGATCACGGTGATTATACTATTTTCTCACGGCAGACGCACAATACATCCTGCACCTCATGTCTGAATTCTCACAGTACAGTCTTTCTCTAGGCATAAGAAGAACGTCGTCACCCACAACCACTAATCATGGTCAAGGGAGGATGAGGAGGGTGGGGTTACTGAAGCCACGCCCCTTACAAACACACCCTGTTATTAACAAACCACTAATGACATCACAGTTTAAAAGTTCTTTCAGAATGACAGTGTGCTGTCGCTTGATTCTCACAATTTGTGGGTCATGAACCAAAAATGGGTCGCATGTCTGTACTGAACCATTTTAGTAACATTTTAGTGTCGCTTGACTGCAAAACTGGCCACCGCAATCCTTGGGTGTTTTAGCCAGTGTCAAGGGGGTTGCCATGTGCTTCCTATGGTTATATCTGGCCCAAATCAAAAATCCCAACCTCCAAATCTCTACAATATTCTGATCTCTAAATATCACGCTGGTTTTATCATCCAGCAAGGGAATTAAAGTAATAGTCCACAAGCTGCATTATCTGAAGTATCATTCAAGTTACCGCAGCATGAGTTACATGCTTTGGTTTGTTGAAATCCCTAACCCTTGCTAACACTGCTAATTTAACACACACACACACACACACACACACACACACACACACAAAAAAACATTAAAATTGCTATGGTAAAAAAAAGCAACTTCATTGGTTACCAATATACTGGTATTATAATCAAGTTTTTTTTTATTAATAAACCGAAAAACTAGAATAGAAGTAGAATAGAAAGTACTAGTATAAATTGGTCAAGTTTTGAAGAAAATGAGTCTTTAACCGTTCTTTGCTTATTCTTATGTGTTATGAGTATTTTTGTAGGTTGGTGTTTTAACATTATATCAGTTAATGAAATATACTTTTTACTGTAAATTTAAGTTCAATACATACATTTTTCTACCAATAAAAAAAAAAAAAAAAGATATAAAAACGATGTTTTGGTAACCACAGTCATTTTGAAGTAATTTAATATGAGACATAATAACAGTTACACTTGCTATAACAATCACCTGTTTTATACGGAGCCCCGCACATGACATGCAAGAAAAAATAAATAAATCATGCGCACGATTTACTAATTCGTTCTCTCGATGTACTAAAACGTGCACAAGATTAAGAACTATTTCGTTCCTTCGATTTGCTAAATTGTGCAAACAATTTACTAATGCTGCGTTCAAGTCCTCCTGGGACGTTCGTACGAGTTGACAAGTCGTAATTACGACGTCAGGTGCGTTCAAGTCAGTTTAGTCAGCACAAGATGGCGGTGTACCTTCTTTTAATAAATTACAAGAAAATACAACAGGGTCTGCATTTTTTTTACTTGGATTTCAGCTGCGTAACAAGAACATGACCAATTTAAGTTTATAGGACAACTAAACTATCAATTTAAACAAATTTACCGTCAACTACAGACGTTGCATCCATCGATTCCGCCATGTTTCTCATTGACACGCCCCCAACTCGGAAACTCGGGGCTTAAAGAAAATTTCGAGTTTCCCACTCGTAATAACGACTTTGTGGTGGCGTTCATGTGCGTTCAACTCGTAAATACGATCTATCCGACATGACTTGAACCCACCATAACTCATTCTCTAGATTTATAAATCGTGTGCATGACTTAGTAAATCGAGGGAATGAAATATTAAATTGTGCGCACGATTTATAAATCGAGGGAAAGAAATAGTAAATCGTGCGCACGATTTAGCCTACTATTTTTTTCCTGCATGCCATGTGCGGGGCTCCGTAGTTTTAGTCATGCACTTCTGTAAATGGCACTAAACCCTTCTCTGCTCTTTCACTACCGGTCTCGTTCATCCTTCAACAAGAACAAACAGAGCTGTGACAGACGTCTCTTACTCCCACTATCTCCTCCTCATTATGCATCGCTTTTACTGTGCAAAATATTTATGCCATTCAATTATTCAATATTTTCTGAAGGCAGAAACATCCTTCTGCGCGAGAGTGCAGATGTATATTATTTGCGTGGGAATGTGTGCTGGAGGAGATGTTGTTTGCAGGTCTGTATGAATCTATTTCTGATTCAGGGTGACTGGGAGGTTAGAGGGAGTCTGAGTTATAAACTGATAAGAAGGATAAAAGAAGTATTAATGGAATCACTTTTAGGGCTGGACAATAATTCAATATCAATATGTATCGCGATAATGCGGTCAGTTTTGCCAAAGAACGCATGAAAACATAAAATGTGCAAATGGCCTAGTTAAAAAGTAATCAGATTATTATTAATAATGGGTAATATAAGGTTACAGTATTATTAATAGTTCCCTTGCAGTTTTGCATGCATTTAATAAAGCGTTATAATAATAATAAAAATAATAAATAAAAATCAACCTTAAGATGATTTAAATTTTTTTATCTGTTTGTCTCTTTTACTCATTTTTATCAGACAATTGCTGTATTCTGGGCTCATCTTCGCCTGAGTGGAAATGTCTGATATAAACTGAGATTTATTAGGTGTTATTTTTAGGTGACTATTATTGATTCAAATTTAACTGACTGCTAGTTAACTTGTGTTACAAGACCAAGGTTTCTCTCCAAAAACAACTTCTAAAAAAAAAAAATCTAATAAACAAATGTCATTACCATTACACTCATTATGATAAATTCATCACACATTGCAGCAAAATCCACTGTAAAGTTACTCATTGCCATTTTTTCTGATGTAATAATTAACATGGATAAAAATAGCTTGAAGGAGTTTCATTATTCCAAGATATCAAACAGTCAAAGATCACCCTGAAAAATCATCCATGTATCTGTTAAAATATAATGAGTGTTTAAAAGAAGGGACGGTGGTCAGAAATCAGTAAGATGGACATCCTGCTATTTGATATGAATCTTGTCAGCCGGTTAGGTTAAGTGGGTTAACTAAATGCTGAGGTGACACATTCCAAGGATCCTATTTCGGAATTACCATGTACAGTCACTGACTGCGAGGATAACATGTTGAGCCTTAAAATAGTCGCAAATTGTCTTGCAGGAGTGATCTGGGCACCATCTGCTGTTTGCAAGGCCCACAACGCTGTCTTAATGCATACATATTAGGAAAACAAAAACAAATGACTCTCCAGAAGAATCAAGATTTATTTTTTATCAAATTAATGCTTTGTAGTGTTTATATCTGAAACTAACCTTTCATAATGTAACCGCTTCACAGACTGACGCGCAACAGGAGGCCCGCTCATACCTGAGCGAGGAGATGCTTGCCGGTGAGTCTACAAACAAACTGATAAAAAAGAATATATTACCAATATCCGAGTCCTTCTGTTCCTTTAAACCGTATGCGTCTATTTCAAAGAGTTCAAGGCTGCCTTCGACATGTTCGACACCGACGGTGGCGGTGATATCAGCACCAAGGAGTTGGGTACCGTCATGAGGATGCTGGGTCAGAATCCATCCAGAGAGGAACTGGATGCCATCATTGAAGAAGTAGATGAAGATGGTAAGTTGGGTCGTGTCCAAAAAATGAACTACATTAAATAAGGGTTCACATGCAATAAGCTGGGACAGTTCACCCAAAAATGTAAATTCTGTCATCATTTACTCACCCTCATGTCATTTCAAACCTGTATGATTTTTTATTTTTATTTTGGTGAACATAATAGATATTTTGAAGAATGTGGGTACCCAAACAGTTGACGGTAGCCATTGACTTCCGTAGTTTTTTCCATACTATGAAAGTCAATGGCTACCGACAACTGTTTGGTTACCAAAATTATTTTTATTTGATTTATTTATTTATTTTTTGATTCCTTATTTATTAAACATTTTAGATTTATAACTATTTACAGCAGAGCCTGAGATCTGGCCATATACATTAAAAAACAGGGGGGTGGGGGGGGACTTACAATACAATATTACAAAACAATATTAGCAGGATAACAAGTACATTTCAGGATTTCAAGAGGTCTGATAAAGTGTCAGTTAGGTCCAACCAAAATTGTATTGTCTTTCTGGTGGCACGCGTGACATTTTCTGTAAATGATCGTTAATTTGTCCAGTTCTGTTTATTATATAGTCTATGGTCTATATATAGCAATACGTTCCAATAAGGCCTATAACCTTTTAGTCTTAATGATGTATTTAATGCATTTAATGCCGCCATGATTGTAATGTAGCCTGCATTAAACAACACAAACATTCAATTCAGTCATACGAGTCATACGAGTCGGAGAGTTGTTGACTCGATATCAAGAGTTGCGGCGGATGTTGTTGCTATGGAAACACGGTGGTATAGGCGGTTCGGCTCGCTAATAACTGGTTTCACTGGCATTATAGCGACCCGCGGTCAGTGCTGTGGTGTTGTTTTCCAGGACATCTGTGTTCTGAACGTGTCTATGTAATATACAGTGAGCTTTATTGTCATTTTAAGATGATAATAAAACGGAACAATTTCAGTTTTTTTTATTGAGGTAAGCTGTTAGGCCTAGGCTATAGGCTAGGCTACATAAAAAAATAAAAAATATTCAGACTAAAAAGAGCAAACACAATGTGATTATTAAAGTTTAACAAAACAGTCTTAAAGGGGTCATATGATGCTTCAACTTCTCGCTGTGGATCGCCGGATCGGCTTTCACCGTAGACGAAGCGGAGTCCAGCCCGGGGTCGTCACATGTGGTTGCCGCAGGCATCACAGTATGTTAAGGGACGTAACATTTCCGTCACACGCTTGAGGTATTCGGCCAATCACAAAGCACTGGATAGCTGGCCAATCAGAGCACACCTCGCTTTTCAGACCGATGAGCTTTGTAAAAATCGACGCGTTTCAGAAAGGCGGGGCATAGAGAAGAAACAATAATGTAGAGTATGTGGAAAATAATGTGGTTTTTGAACCTTAAACTGCATAAACACATTTCATTACACCAAATACACAAAATAATGTTCTTTTTAGCAGCATCATATGACCCCTTTAAAAGGTCAAGAGCAAAGCACAATGTAATCAATTAAGAGTTAACAGTCTTAAAAAGTAAAGAGTTCATTAAACATTTTCTTTATAAAAATGGCTGTCAATTTATAATGGCATAAAAATAAGATAAAAGGAAAATAAGCTCACATATTCTTTTACATTCAGTATAATAATCTATATAGCATATAGACAGCCCAAGTGTTTCATCAACAGTAGGCAGAGTAAAATCCCAATACAAAAATTATCACATAAATGAAACACCAAGATTTTAAATCAGTCAGTCACAGTTGTAACATTCTATATGTTAATGCTTTTTTTTTTTCTTTTACCCAAAAACAATTCAGATTTAACACTTTCCATTGTTCACCTTCTATTTAAATGTATTTGAAGTTGTTTGTTGAATAACAACCACAATCAGACGAAACAAAAAACATGTATTTGTAAAGCAAGTAACTTGTTGATGGTTGTGGTGGAATGTTTTTATTGTCTTGCACTAAACTTAAATATATATATATATATAAAAAATGCAAACAGAAAAGTTAGTAAACTGTCCACTATTAACCTAAAAGATTCTGGCATTTTTATTATTTCAAAGAACATTAGTACAGTACACAATAACCCTGCTGGGCTTTAATTCATCTCACCATGAGCCAAAATTCTGTATCTACAATTTTTACATTACAATATCAGTTTCAAAATCATTCAGATGGTACACTGACTTCTAATAAGGCGAATGGCTTCTGTTTTTTTTCGAGACTTTCCCTCCAAACATTTGTTTTATTAGTATGTGTTTGGTGAGCGGATACGAAATTCTGTGAAAAGGACGGGTTCCTTTATGGCAGAAATGCGTGCAGATATTCATTGTAGCGACAATTCCACTCACTTAACTGTAGGGGGCTCCAAAGTCACAAAACTACTGCACATACATTTGCTTTAGGGTGCGTTCATACTTGTAGTTCTATTCTCTTGGCTCATTTGGTCCAGACCAAAAAAGAAAACGGTAAATTTGGTCCTGGTGCACTTACCGTTCACGCTGGCATTTTTGACAGCATTCACACTTACTCAAATGAAGCGCACTAACTGAGCAATCGCACCAGAGTTTGTTAAAGGGTGTGTTCACATGTTTGGTTCGATTAAAACGAAGTGCAGTTCCTCTGAGTAAGTGTGAACGCTGCCATCCGAACCCTGGTGTGCACCAAACAAGCGGACTGAGACCACTAAAAAGATGGGTCTCGTCCGCTTCCAGATGAACTCTGGTGCGGTTCGAATGAAATATGAAAACACGGACCAAATACTTCTAAACGAACCAAAAACAGGATGTAATTACAAGATGCAACGCTATGCCAAAGTCAAGTCAAGTCAAAGTCTGCTTTATTGTCAATTCTGCCACATGTAGCACATATATACAGAGAAATTAAATTGCGTTACTCTCAGACCCGTGGTGCATATAACACTAAACACTAACGGTAGAATGTAAAAATACAAATAAATACAGATTAAATATAAAATACAACTATACAAATATACAAATAAGGACATGCAAAAAAGGACAGATAAAGTAGCACAAGGCACATGGCAGATAGAGTGCAAACCAGTGAAATAAACAAACAGTGCAGATATAATGAGTGTAGTGCAAAAAGAGCTTATCAGTTCGTTTGAAGTGACAATGATTTGCGACCCTGGACCACAAAACCAGTCATAAGGGTCATTTTTTTCATCATAATAAGCTGAATAAATAAGCTTTCCATTGATGTATGGTTTGTTAAGATGGTACAATATTTGGCCGAGATACAACTATTTGAAAATCTGGAATCTGAGGGTGCAAAAAAATCTAAATATTGAGAAAATCGCCTTTAAAGTTGTCCAAATGAAGTTCTTAGCAATGCATATTACTAATCAAAAATTATGTTTTGATATATTTACTGTAGTACATTTGCAAAGAATTTTCATGGAACATGATCTTTACTTAATATCCTAATGATTTTTGGCATAAAAGAAAAATCAATAATTTTGACCCATACAATGTTGACTATTGCTACAAATATACCCATGCTACTTATGACAAAAAAAATGTACATGCAACTATGAGTGTGTTTAGTCTAGCAGACAGCATTAGATGTATTCGGCTTAAAGCGGCGAATCGGTGAATGGGTATTTTGATGTCATACAGTACAACAATCGGTCTGCGCAGCGCCGCTTTAAGTCGAATACACCTATTGTTTGGGTTCAGTCAAGAAATGTACATCATTCAACCCAACCAATCAGGTTGTGGACGTATCACTATGCCTTTAGGGCGGGTATCTTTAGGTTCGCTTTTGAAAATGCCAGTTTGAACGCTAAGCAAACCAGGACCAAATGTATCGTTTTCTTTTTTGGTCCGGACCAAACGAACCAAGAGAACCGAACTACAAGTGTGAACACACCCTTAATCAAACCAAACGTGCCAAGTGTGAACACGCCCTTAAAATCAGGGGTGTCCAAACTCGGTCCTGGAGGGCCACTGTCCTGCAGAGTTTAGCTCCAACTTGCCATGTCTAGTATGCCTAGTAATACCTTGATAAGGTGGTTTAGGTCTGTTTAATTAGGGTTGGAGCTCATCTCTGCATGACAGGAGTTTGGACACCAATGCTTTAAATATATGAATTATTCCAAATGTATTGCCAGTTATCCAAGGACAAAACAAAATAGCAGAATGGAACAAAATAAATACACACCCAACCATGGTCAAGATACAGTATACTCTCAGCTTACTCTAACTAACCAAATACAACAAATGCCCTAAAACAGTCAAGAGTCACTGTCTTCATTAGATTAACATTTAAAGGGCTAATTTGTACCACTATCCCATTTGCTCTGTACTACAAGCTAATGTAGTGCCTGCCGCAGCATGGCAGTAGGCTGCGCTGTTGGTATAAGAGAGAGCTCTTCTGCACCACTGCAGCGGTCCTGCATCCAACATCCACTAAACACACTGCAGTGTCTGTAGTCTGATGAGGAAAGCCTTTACAAACTGCCATCTGACATTTCCCAAGTACAAATGAAATACTGTATATTCATAACAGGTATTAAAACACAGCAGTAAAGATTTAGGCATATTAGCCTATTAAATAACTGCAGTTTTTCATTAAAATATACAATGAGGTCTAATGCTGCCTTCACGTGCTATCGGAAATTTCCTATTTATGAAGTCGTGATTACGAGCTTGTCGTATTCAAGTGCTTTAATGTCGGAAAGAATAAAATGTAGCATCCCATTGGTTGACTATCATAAACATTCACCGCGCTACACATGCAGTTTGCTGACAGTTCTGGAATTTCGATCAAATACATGCTTATATCACTGCTTATAAAACACAATATGCTTCGAATGATCGTTCATATCTAGCCTATAAATACACTATACTACTTTAGCGACAAGACAAAGTCATGTAGTTGTTGTGAAAACAGCATTGACAGCAGCAATGGTTGTCCCCTCCACCATGTTTAAGATTATGACCCGCCCAACTCACAAACTCTGGTATCAAAATTATTTCCAAAATTTCCCAGTAGTAAATACGACTTGAGAGGCGTTCACGTCT